TATATTTAATTCGAAATTATTGTTTAATAAATATAATTTAATATGTTGTCTTCTGTAAACAACAAATACATAGGAGGTATTCAGTTCTATCGGTCATGAGAAAAATTAAATAAAATAATTCACAGAGCATGCCTATGTATAAAACACCAATAGTACTTAAAAAAAAAACAATACTAAATAAATTTCTATATCTAATATAAAAATGAACATTATTTAACAAATATAGTTCTCGTATATTTATTCAGTGAAGAAATAACTAGTGTAGAACTACAGCGTACATCAAATACATAAAGCGAACAAAGCCTCGGGCGAAAGCTTACATGTATAATAAGTTTGTATCTAAAATTCTACAAAAATATTTACAATAACTCGTTTCCAATTACTGCAAAGAACAAAAATAATTGGATACAAAGTTATATTTTAATTTTTTTTCTTTCATTCAGACATTAACTGTCAAATAAATATTAAAAAATCCTATCAACAGAAGTGTCTGGTGAAAACGATTCCAATTAAGACAGTAATTAAAATCAGAATAATTGTCCATCTCGTGATGCATACCACGAAAATAAAATTCGTGAAAATAAATAAATGATTCCAACGAGATTTAAATTTTAGTGACAATGTATTATTCTCACCTGTTCATGTATAATTTTCTTCCGGGCGGGTATCCGTTGTTTCGTTGTTTTTTTTTCAGTTATTGAAGCACATTTTCCCGTCGAAATGGAAAGTCCCGCGAGGTGTCGCTGGCGAGCGTGCCTCTCGGACACTGCGCAAGGCCCGTCTGACGTCTCGAATCTCCACCTCTTTCGATAACTGATGACTTCCTAAAGTTGCGATATTATTATGCGTTTGTGGTGCATTACTTTTACGTTATTATAATAGCAATTGTTTTCTTAACAAGTATGTTTTTTATATTTGCCAAAGTCAATAGTTTTATTCTTCATTCCTTCTATTGGAGTGTTGAATTTATTATCCCTAAATTTGTTTTATAACAAATTACAATATATGTGTTATCATACAGAATATATTTTATCCTCTTAGTTTACCCTGAATCTATAACATCTATAGAATTAACCATTAAAATCTACATTTAATAGAAGTGGATATCTATCATAGTAAAGGGATAGAAAGAATCAAATGTTTGTCTTTAGTTTAAATAAATGAAAAATTTCTCTGTGTTGTCCTGGTAAGCCATTGTATATCGTTCAAATATGATTATGAATGAAGCTGTATAAAGTATATTCAACTTATTGCGGAATATTTTCCTATATTATATCAAACAGACACTTTCGAATTAATGGTATTTGAGATGCACTATGGACAAACTAACATAGCAACGCAACTTCCTGAATACGTAACAGGAGTGGAGAGCTGAGAGCCAAGTAGAAAGCGAGGTGATTTATTCATTTAGAACAAGCAATCTTGATCCACGACAGTATCAATATACTAGCCTGATTCATGTTTGCACAACATAACATATTTTAATTACAATAATTACTGTTAATTGATTGTTAGCTTTGATGTTAACGCGTTTAAATATTGTTTGAGAATTTGTTTATTAGATGTAACGGTAACTGCGTGATGACAGTTAAATGATTTCTGATGATTTAACAGACGAGTAGCTTGGATAACTGTTGACATAAAAAGATATTATATTTTCAGTACTGGATAGGCTAAAGTATAAGTTGAGTACACTTGGGTCATTACTGTGCTATGCTGTATGTTACTTGATCGATGAGAATTTGAGTCTCTATCCTCCCAGATAGATATATTTTTTCCATTTTGAGCATCCCTTTTTGTTCATCGCTCCACACAAAACGTAAGTTCAACGCTTTCACCAAAGCTGAATGTTCCACGGTTTTTAACTTAGAGTTTTAATGTTCTAAATATAACTTTATATTTGTATGTATAATTATATATTAGTTTCTTTTATTGTAAAGTTTTCTGTCCTTAAATTGTTTTTTTTTTGACATCTGATATATAGTAAATAAGTAATATTTTACTAAGAAGTACATATGTGGGAAGAAACTATTATAGAAATATGGAACCAAATACCAAATTTTACAACTTTACTTAATTTAGTTTTTCTTTCACAGGTAACGTACCAACAAAAGCGATGCGTTTTGGTGTGATATGAAAGTGTATCCTGAAATAAATACGAAAAAAAAACAGGAATATTGTCACAGTAAGTTGATACTAGTTTCGACCTAATTTTATAATTATTTTTGTAAATTTTCTTGTGTATTTGGTGTAATTTTTTTTAGTCAACTTGCGTTTGTCATGGTCAGTCGCGGATAAGTGAAAGTGCCTCGGTTTTCTACTCGCAGAAATTGCCTTAGAAGCCGTCATCACGCATTATGGCTATAAATTGACATGATTTTGATTAGTGTCTTGATATGTTGTATGTGTATTTAATTTGTGTGCACTCATCTACATCTGTTTACGACGTTGAAGCTTTCTGGTTGCTGAGTCACACACAAACGCCTTTCATTGTGACTTCAAATATTTTTATTACTTAACAACATTTCTTCAGTGTTTGCTTTATATTAGTTTTTGAAGAATGTCAAAGGATATCTGATATCAATATGAGCTTATGTCAGGGGTTCTAAATGTATCGGCAATTCGATCATATTTAACCTTACCAAAACATAAAGGATTTCAGTATAGATTACCATATAATATTCATTTAATAAACATTAAACGTATGACCTCATATTTTATGCAACATCTACTACTGTTGTATTAAGCATGTAACAAAAATATAATAGATATAACTCCACCGACAACTTTTCGTTTTTCTAGATCGGACTAACAAGTTTCTAATGTGAGTTATTATTTTTTTTTTACACTACGTCGTTTGGCGACCCCGTGGCCGTGTTTTATATTACGACATTGATTTGATAACATAAAAACAAACAAATAGGAGTAACAAGTATAGATATTGCTAATATGATGAATTCTTAAATTTTAATCATAACATTTCGTCTTGGAATTTGTTATAAAGTAAATGATATAATTAAAAAACAAAAGACAAGCATTAAATAATGTTTTTTTCCGTAAATTATTTATATATGGATTATAAATAAGTGTTCGATATATATATTATAAATAACTCATACTTAAATAATATTTTAATGTTGAATCATAGATGGAAAAGAACCCAGTTACCAACTTATATCACCGGATCTATGATTTGCAGTTTATTTGTTTCTGTAAGACGTTACGTCTAAATAACAATATGAATAATGGTGCTTGAGGTCAAGTGTTCTATTGGAGGGCATACGGAAGAGTCTTTTATTATAGAAATTCTATATGATGGTCTAAGAAGAAGTCTCTAAAGACTATAAATAAGTTGTCGCAATGAAACTGGTTTTAGTTATAAAATATGAACTATGTATATAACCAAACTTATTTTTCTGTTTATATTATATCGGTATAAGCTTACAATACCAACACAATATACTGCGAGTGCATTATACATATATAAATAATTCTCGTGGTAAGAAAAATAAAATAAGAATCCCTTAATCAAGAGAAAAATCGAAAGGAAAAATATTTACAATACTAAGAAAAATAATTATTTTGTTCTGTTTGTTTTAAAAAAATGTTTTCCAATTGTAAACAATTTTCTCATATTACGCAACCCTTCCCTGTCTTCTAAGTCAAAATCATTCAGTGGATATTTACGTAATGATTTTTGTATCATTTGTAATGACATTTTGTTTTTGTTAACACAGTATTCAAGGTACGTTACATAATTAGTCTCCTGATTAGTTTGAGATATTTGATGTAATTGTTACTCTGTAATCATAATTAAATGCTATTATTGTTTATTCCTACTGCTGATTTTAAAAAGGATGTCACCTTTTTCTTCAAACTATTTGAGTTTATTTTTACACATAAGTTTCCGTTCAGCATAAACAAAAATGTATATTCATTAATTTTTGATTTGCATATAGTAATAAATTATCTTAAAAAATTATATTAAGACATTATACACCATTAAAATTAGCTTAGAATATTTATTTATTTAAAATTATGCAAATTATTTCCTGACAAATCCATATGCGGTAAGCGACATCTGTGGCTGGCACAGGGTATTATTTCTTAAAGATCAAGTTAGTAAATGTAGATGGCGTTGTTTGTAAATTACAAAACTGGTCATATTATAATATTATTATTTAAGTATATTGGTTGCAACATTTTCAAATTTTGTCTCCTAAATACCCAAGAGGAGGAGAAGTTGTTTATTGAATATCACAAAACATTTCAACTGTTTAGAATGTTATAAGTACTCGAAATGTTTTCATATTCCCTTATGCTTATTTATTTCATATTTATTTTGTCTTGGATTAGTTCAGTTGTTACTTTAATTAATAATGTTTTCATTTCATATGAGATAGACATTTTGTACATTTTTGTTATTCCCTTGCTCTTTAACATTTATTCTAATTCATATTAATTTACTAGGTCCAAAACTGGAATTGTTAAATCTCCCAGTATTTTATTCTTAATGATATCTACTTTTGTTAATATCACAATTACTTAGGTACACACAAATAAGATCATCGACAGAGTACTAGTGAAAGTAGTTCAACATGTCCTAAAGGTCGTACGTTGGTTAGCGTTTGGCTGGGAATACATATGGCAAATAACTTTGATTGTAAAATAGCTGGTGTTATACAAAGAAGTTTTTATTTATAAACCTTAATAACTATAGACTAATTACTCTATAACAATTTATTTAAAAAGTTTTATTGCTTTATTTATTTATTATAATACTAATTAACGATCACCACATTCATGTTCCCATCACAAAGGCTTCTACAGTCTATAACCACTTATAGATTTTTTATACACGGAAAAATCTGTAACTTGGAAGTGTTCTTATTTGCGACTAGAAGCGTTACGTATATCATTATTAAAATGACTATTGGAATATATGTTTATTTTTGGCATTAAAACGCGTTATGGCCAATGGTAATTTCACTAAATATGTATCATCTTTCTTTCTGACATTGTGATGTTTTTCCTATCTTCAGAATTTGATCCAATTTGGAACATTTTAAAGATCTACGGCTTCTACGTTTTTGTTTTGGGTTCCAAGTATTTTTAATTAAATCTGCGCCTTTTTCTGCAATCATAATTACTGGAGCATTAATATTACCATTGGTAACAGCTGGCATTATACTTGCATCAATGACACGCAAGCCTTCTATACCATAAACACGTAGTTCAGGATCCACCACGGCCATAGGATCACTTGATGGGCCCATCTTAGCCGTGCCAGACAAATGATAAATTGTCATGGTATACTGGCGTATATAACATTCCCAGTATTCATCTGTGTATAGAGGTAAATGTTTGCAATTCGGAACAGGTTTACTGTTATATCTAGCACCCAAACGCTTCATGGCTGCTGTTTCAGCTACAGCTACGGCAGCTTTTACACCTTCTCTCATTACTCCAACATCATCGGGGTGAGTCAAATAATTATGGTACATCAATGGATAATCTAAAGGATTTTTAGATCTCAATTTTATAAAACCCCGACTTTTTGGTCGCAGCATCATGGGGAATATTCCACAGACGTCCTTACTAGTTAGATGACCAAAAACTTCTTCATAAAACTCATCAGTTATGCCGTGAGCAACTTTAACTTGAGTTCCCCCATCCGAAGGTATAGACGCAGATGTCATCATAAACTCAATGTCTGGCCAATCTTCAGTTTCATTAGCATATTTAGTATTAATAAAGGCTACCACTTCTAAACCAATGCTTGAAGTTAATGGTCCATCCTCCGTAACAGCGTAGCGTAAAGCTGAATTTATGTTAACAAGTCTATTCATAACGATACTAATAGGATAATCGATTTGAAAAACTATGCCTCCTACGGCAATATGATCTTGCAAATTTCTTCCCACTCCAGCGGAATTGTAGACAACATCAATACCCACTTCTTCCAAATGTTGAGCCGGTCCAACACCAGAAAGCATGAGTAACTGTGGAGACCCAATAGCTCCTGCAGCCAGAATAACCTCTCGTTTTGCATAAACGACCTGTTTGATTCCATCTCTAAAGAACTCAACGCCATAAGCTCTTTTCTTATCTTTGTCTATCAAAACTTTAGTGACATGAGAAAAAAGAGCAATGTGAAGATTTTGTCTTAGTCGCACAGGTCTCAAGAAAGCTTTAGCTGTTGAACATCTAGTTCCTCGTCTCATAGTAAATTGGTACCAAGCATATCCTGTTTGCTGGGCACCATTAATATCCAATATATCATAACCCATTTCTTCGCCAGCCTGAAGAAATGCGGCTCCGATGGGTGTATTATACGGTGCGTCTTGAACCGTGAGATATCCACCTGAAATGTTTGAGTTATGTGTGTGATTAACTTTATAAATATGTCATTTTATTTTTTACTTATGACATACTTCCTTTTATTTAATAATATCTACTTAAGACAAAAAATCTGCATAGTGGAATATAAGTATAAATTATTTTTATTCATTAAATTGACTTTATATAAAAATTCTAACCCGTCGAGTGATATTTTGTATCTTTCGCCAAATAAGGGTTCCGTTGATCTTCTGATTTCTTGAAGTAAGGTAAGACATCTTTGTAACCCCAGCCCGGATTACCAAATGATTCCCATTGGTCAAAGTCTCGTTTGTTTCCTCGGATGTAGAGCATTGTGTTGAGTACTGATGAACCGCCAAGAACCTTCCCTTTAGTCCAACTGCACCTCTTATCAATCATTGCCTGACACGCGGAATCTTGTGGTTGAGTTCTGAAAGTTATTATTAATTAGTAAGAGTATCTTTTAACTGCAGTATCATTCTTAGTATTGTTCACAAGGTTCCATTTTAATACAACATTATGGATCATTTCCGCCAGTGAACATTTAAAATACATAGAAAATACAAAATTATTTCTCAGGCAAGCATATAGTTTATGGAATAAAAAAACCTTCTCGCTTTTCATTTGGTTCTAATAATAGCTCACCGATATTTCCAATCTAATTTGCTTTTGTGCAGATACAAAGATAATAACGGCACATCACTGATATCCGTTTCGTGACCCCCAGCTTCAAGTAGCAACACATTCCAGCCCTCAACTTCTGATAATCTATTTGCTAGTACTGCTCCGGCAGAACCACCTCCGACTATTACAAAGTCGTATTCTTCTCTAAGGTACTTCTGATTGAATGGTCTGTTTTCCGGGTCCAGCAAGTCGTAATGGAAATACGCGAGAGCTGCTAACATAGCAGGAATGAAGGTTAACTTGCTTATACCGCCAATGGTCAGTGCTGCCTTGGCGGCAGCCGAAGCTGTTGTTAGTATGGCCATCGTGAATCAGCTATTCATAATTCTGAAATAACAGATGCCTACATCAATTATAATACCAAAAAAATTATTTAACTTTTATTATGATAGTAATATCGCAATGCTTATAGAAATGTACTAATAATATAAATATTATCATATCTTTAAAATTGAGAACCGATTTGTTGGAGACCAGCGAAATTAACATAATTCTTAGTCCAAGATTTCTTGGGAAATTTATATATACATATGTATTATGTAGTGTTCAACGGTGAAACCAATTAAATAACTACAATAATATTGGAAGCTACATTTATTTAAATTCGAATGAAGGAAAATAAAAACCCATGCCATTGTAAAAAGTGCTTGAAATACTGTGGTATTGTACTTAGAAATGTCATGTCGAAACATATTACAAATACTCAGGCCTTGATACTATTGTTTGATTGTTCTTTATGGGATTTTTAATTCCGATATGGTCCCATACTTGAAATCTATTGTAAATTTCCGGAACTATTTCATGTTTTTTGTAACAACTGAACAAGATTAATAAAATAAGAATGAAAGGTTCAGTGACCTGGTTTTTTGATATTTTTGTTAACACCTTATAAAAACCATTTTCATTCAAGAAGTATGTTTTAAACTTTTTTATTCATGTGTTAATTTAAAAATGTTACTAATAAATTGGTCTGTACTTTGAACTTTATTAGGATTTTCTTCTATTTTACTAAAATTAAAAGAGATTGAAATTTGTTTTAATCATTAGTTTGTTGCCAAATAAAGTCAGATATCAATTAATCAAGACAAGTATTTTACTTCATAGGGTAAAAATTATAATATTTTGCCCTTATTCTATCAGTTAATTTTATAAAATTTCTATGAAGCGCAAGCAGTTTAAATTTTAATGAATAAGGATAATTAAATTTTAAAATGAGTATCAACATATAATATCTTGTCTATGTTAAACTATAAACAAAATATTTTTTAGATCTTTAGCCCGTATTCGAAAGTTTGTTCCAAATAATTACTAGTAACTCTGACGCCGCCTCTTTTATGTAATTCTGTACTACTATAAAATTTTAGTAGTAATGGATCTCTGTAACAGCGCTTTCAAAGCTGATGTTAAAATTGACCGTAGTTCGACATTTATTGCTTCCTTTATATGAACACATGATAAGAACTTCGAACTTTTATCTACAGCGTCCAAATATAAAAAATATGAGAAACTCGTTGCTTCTTTCACTGATGACACATTTGCTTCTATGTAACCAATATAAATCAAGTTATTTCTCTGCTTTACATTATTATTAGAATATTTTAAATATTTTTTGTGTAATATGATCGAACTACTGTGGCACTAACCGCAAGTGCTCTTATATTATTCTCCTTGGTTTTTGTAAGGTTTATGTAATTCAAAAAGCGCCATTCTTAGCGATCGAGAATAATTCTATTCAATGAGATGTTATGTGTTCGTAACGTATGTAGATGTTAAAGTGAACGTCAGCAGATGATATCTTCCATTTATATAACTTTAAGTGAACAAACTCAAATTAAATTTCAGAATCAGATAATTTTTAATTTCTGTTTATTATTTCATAAACCTAATTCGTTTCCGCGTTCGATAATATTTGGATAAGAATGGTCAAATGATAAGCATTTTTATCCTGGTATAAAAAGTCAAGATTTTAAGTCTATCATTGTGATTTTAACAATATCTAAGAGATTTATTGTCAAATTCTTTTGAAATAAATACTCAGAAAATTCTGTATCTCGATATATTAACTCCTATATATTTTTTTTTGTATAAAATACATATAACAGAGATATGTACGGTGTTCATATGGGGGTGTAGATGAAATTTTAATGTGGTATGCGTGCAATCGCGCGTCGTTGTACGTTTAATGCGGTTGACCAAAAAAGGCTCTCGAGGTCTGATTTGGAAACGGTCTAGGGATAAGGATGGTTACTGTACTTGACCCACTAATGTACCCCCGTTAAAAGCACGTGATATCATTTATTTTGATACACAAAAATGATTAACAAATGTATGTAAATTGACGAAAGTCACTTTTTTATTCGTATCGTTAAAAAAAGCTTAAAAGTCATTAAAAAAGCTATTGAAAATTCATTCAAGCTGATTCAATATTTAATATTATTAAAAATTAAATATTTTTTTTCTTCCAAAAATAGACTATTTTAATATATTTTTCTATATGATTAAAACATAAATATATATTCATTATATTCGTGAGAATATTTTTTGTTTCGCCTTGAATTCGCATGTTAATATAGTTTTAGAAATCACACACTAGTAAAATGAGTATATTGTAGCAATATGTGGTGGTGTCGGTTGGAAACGAACCTCTGCCAATGACCTTGTGCTGAAAATGACATGTCTTACTCAACTTTTATACATTCATATTAATAACTGACTTTTGTATATGTGCAATATAATTTAAATCACAATACGTACATACATTTATTTTCCTTCAGTTTTTAACCTCTCGACACAAATTTTAGCCAAGCCTAAAATATTGTGTTGAATACTTCTTAGGTTTTAGTATTTTTATATTGTATAAAAACTTCAATGAATTAAGACAAATAAAAAACTAAACTAAATTAAAATAATTCATACAGAACTTAGAGGGTTTCTACGAGTTTTTTTTTCAATTTAAGTTATATTAGAATATAAATGTATCTAAGTAATACGTATGTTGGATTACTGATTAATGTGACAATGGCTTCGGAGGGCATAAATATAAGAGAGACTTTTTATAATCGCAATCATAAAGACTTAAATATAAAATTAATGTTAATGAGGACGATTATAAATTATTTCATTTGTCAACCGATCGTTAAAGTAAGGTCGATAGTTTAAGCTTTATTGCAACAAGTAATGTACACAGACATATAACATCTGTAGGTAAAAACCCTTTATTATTTTGACTATCGCATCGCATAGGATATACATTTATATACATAATAAAGAAATTTTATTTCAAATGTTATAAATTTCAGCATAATAACCAACATAATAAAAAAAATTATCTTGTATCAAGTGATCATTCTGCAAACTTCAAAATTTAAGATATCTTGATATCTAGAGTGTGACAAGCAACCATCGTGACCAATTTTAGAGGATGGTGTGTTACATGACACTATAATATTTTTTTATGTCACTGCTCTAAATTATAATGATCGTGTTGAACGTACTTTTCAATACAATTAAAATTTATATTAGAAGTTGTTCAAGCCGAATTCGAGTGTTTGATATATGTACATATCTATGGTAAACAGATTTTCAGTTCTTATTCGATATACTATGAATTAAATAACATTTTATTTTTAATTCCTATTCAATTCATAGTAACCACAAACAAGGATATTTTAAAAAGATTTTTATTGATAATTTTTTTTCATCTAATTAATATTATTGTTGGTTTGTTTAGTTAAACATATTGATGTACTTTCATTCATTGATGTTAAAATAAAACAAAAATAAAAAAATTCGCTATATACAGAAAAATTATATTAATGTTTTAAAATTAAACAGACAGCATCTTAAATATTTAAAATAATATAATTCCGTAATCGTACCTGAATGAATTTAAAAAATTGTCTTACGTTCACTTATAAAAAAAACAAAGCACGACACTCAAAACACTGTTATACAAGTTATTTGCGCGCGCGCTACTCGCCCGTTCACACTGCACTGATAGAGCTGGAGACGGTACAATGTTGTTGGAAGTAATTTGGTAATAGCATCTCAGTGTGTTACAAAATTAATAGCGTCATGGGTCAGGACTCTTGACCACTATATACAGTTACCAATACGTACGTAACTACCATTAAAATAAGTTCTTTCATATGTCCTTGGACGCATGTACCTTTGTGATGATATCGAAATTAATTTAAATATAATTTAAACGGGAGACATAAACATGTTAGGCAAATTTATATTTTGCAAGAGGATTTTTGTTTCAAAATAATTTTTAACCGCAAAGGTTATGTTGACGACATGCTGAGGGGAGTTTATGGTGTTTGCAAACCTCATGCCCTTTATGGTAATAGTCATATTGCAAGACGGGAAGTGAAACCTTTCCTCTCAAAGCCATTGTGATCTTTTTACAAAATGACACATATATTTCGCAAATTAATGTTGTGAAATAATTGTTTCATAATAAGTCACTATTTATTAATGAATCATTTAGTATTATAACAATTAAATTATTTTTACATTAATCGAAGTCGTTAAAGAATTAATATTTCCCATATTAATGTATTTTTTTTAATAATTTGTACATTCATATCTATCGAAAATAGCCTTTTTTGTTTCATGAGTTTTTGGGCCATTTGACTAATATTATAATTGTGCACATTGTGATTTAGTTTAATACAATTTGTTTATATGTATATAATATTTGTTTACTTCTATATTATGTCATTAATCATTTTATATACTGGTTTTTACAATGAAATTTCTCATACAGTGAGCTAAAAAAATGTATCAAACAGATTCATAAACGGCAAAAACTATCCGTTTTATATTTCTGTGATAGCTCATTGTTGAAACGAGCGGTGTGACTATCAGTCGTCTTCATTATTTCATAATTTTTCGTTATAAACCTCAAAATTTACCTTTTATGAAAATGGTAAGAAAAAGTTTGTAACTGTATAAAAACAATTGCGATTTTTTTTGAGTCTGCCTGCTCTAGCTGGAAAAGCTGTACTATGTTTTGCATTGCGATTTTTTTCTTGTATACTTTTCTTTAATAAACAAGTGACCTGCGAATGATGCGAATATGCATATGGTCTACTTATATTAATTGTGCGTACGTGCAATGTCAAGCATAGCATTTAATTTAAATTCGTTACTCGAATAGTTTCGTAATAAATCCCGCCTGCCTTGGAAATACCATTGCAGCTACAAAACTGAACGACCATCGTTGATTTGTGTTAGTAAAAGTATAAAATTGAATATCACACGACCTATAAAGCGTTACACAACTATTATATAGTTTTTA